GAGAGACATAAAGCAAGACTTGTTGTCAAAGAGTTCACTCAAAGAGAAGAAATCAATTATAAGGAAACATTTTATCCTGAATCTAAGAAGGATTCCTTAAGGATAATCATGACATTAATAACTCATTTTGATTTTGAGTTACATCAAATGGATGTGAAAGCGACCTTCCTTAATGGAGATCTAGAGGAAGAAGTTTATATGAAACAACCTGAAGGATTCTTCTCTAGTGATTGTGAACACTTAGTACATAAGATTAATAAACCCATCTACAAATTAAAACAAGTTTCATACCAATGGTATTTAAAATTTCGTGAAGTTATTTTTTCGTTTGGTTTTGAGGAAACTAACATGGATAAATGTATATAGCAGAAGGTTAGTGGGAGCAAAATTTGCTTTCTTATTTTATATGTGGATCACATGTTGCTAGCAACTAATGACAATGGAATGTTATATGAGGTGAAATAGTTTCTCTCAAAGAACTTTGATATGAAAGATATGGGAGAAACATCTTATTTCATAAGCTTTAGGATCCATAGAGAAAGATATCAAGGTGTTTTGGGTTTATCTCAAGAGACCTATATCAACAAGGTTACAGAGAAGTTTAACATGAAAGATTATTCACCAAGTGTAGCTCCCATTGTGAAGCGTGATAAACTTGAATTAGGTCAATGTTCGAAAAATAATTTTGAGTGGGAACACATGAAGAATATCCCATATGCTTCAGTTGTTGGAAGTCTTATTTATGCTCATGTCTGCACCATACTAGACATTGCATTTGTAGTTGAAGATATCAGAGTAATACAAGTGTTGACTACTAGAAAACTGCAAAAAAAGTAATAAGAAGCCTTTAAGAAGTAAAGAATTTAATACTCATATTCAAACGGACTGATAGTTTAGATGTGATAGACTACTCTAATTCAAACTTTGTTGGTTGCATTGATACTACATCTGGTTACATTTTTATGTTAGCTTGTAGAGTTGTATCTTGAAGTAGCAAAAAACATACCTTGGCTACTACCACTAGCACAAAATTGGGTTTTAACATCTATTATTTTTGTTTTTTTACGTCAGAAACAAGTTCGACGTTAATACGGAGACGTAAATTTACGTTGGACCTAGGGGTAACCGACTTAAATTTAAGTCGGATCCCAGGTGGTAACCGACGTAAATTTTGTCTTCTTTTTTTCTTGTAGTCCAGATATCATATTTTAAATAGACAATAATTCAAAGATACAATATAATACAAAGACAAAAACTAATACAAAAATTAAGCTACGTAAATGTTAAAGTACATAATACAATACAAATTAGAAATATTGAATGAAAAACCTTATTATTTTTTAATATTATGTCTTGATAGTGGAGATAGATGAATCTTGAAATACCTGAAATAATAATTTGACTCCAGTTAACATGGAATACACACAAAGGTAAATGAACTTAACAAATGTTGAAAGCAATTACATCTGGTTATACCCGCATAAACTTTTGTGTATTACATATTCGCCTTTCTCTTCGTTTTGATATGTTGTGCGTCTGAATCCGACATCCAAGTCAAAAGTTATCTTGCTTCGAATATTTTTCGTTTTCTTTTCATCATAAAACCCTAATACACAAAACAACAACAACAACTTAAACTCCCAATATACAAATTATAACAACAACAAAAATAACAAAAAAGTAGGATTCAAACGCATAGAACATTAACTACAATAGTTCAATATCAATAACAATTTAGTGAAAACATTCAATTTTAACATGAAAGAGGAGACGTGACACATATAACACTAACCTCAAATATAAAAAAAATATTGTAAAACTTGAATTCAATTGGAGAGAAATGTCAACCACCACAAATGGGACACAATGAAAGTATTTTCGTCACTCACTGTGGTTAAAATATACCTTGAGAGGAGTTGGTCATTGTCGTTGTCGTCATCGTTCTCGTCGTCATTCTAAAAAACCCTTACTGAGCGAGACGAGGGAGTGATGCAAGAATAGAATAAAACGTGACTTTTACGTTGGACCTTTATGGGTCTGACATAAAAACTTATCCAGCTTTTAACGCCAGACCCATAAATGGGTGACGTAAAAGAGGTATTTTCCGTCACGTAAAAGACCTCTTTTACAAAATCTCGATGTAAAAGAGGGTCCGATGTAAAAGTCTCGCCCAATATTTACAAAATTAATAACGCATTTTTTTTAAGTCAGTTATTTTTGGATTCGACGAGAATTAAGTGATATAAATGGGTCTTTCTGCACTAGTATACTTCCACTATGGAGGCTGAGTTTGTTTCTTGTTTTGAGGCTACTTCACATGATGTATGGTTGAAGAGTTTTATATCTAGACTTTGAGTTGTGGACTCAATTGTTAGGTCATTGAAATTATATTATGACAACTTTGTTGCTATATTTATGGCTAAAAATAATAAGAGTAAAAATTAAAGTAAGCACATTAACATCAAATATCTAGTCATAAGAGAACATGTTAAGGAAAAGAAAGTAATTATTAAACATGTTAGTACTGAGTTGATGATTGTTGTCCTTTTAACTAAAGGCATGCCACTAAAGAATTTTAAGGATCATGTAAGAAAAATGAGATTTAGTTCTATAATATGACAATTTGTAATTTTATAAAACTCTCACTCAATTTGATGATTTCTTATTTATTTGTATACATATTTATTTATTTTTTTGAGAAATATCATTAATTTGACCTAGAATAAACATAAGATTTATTAATTAATGTTAAGAGAATTTCATAAGAGACTTAATATATTATGATACATAGAAAATAATACTTATTATTAGAGAACCTGTCACCATGATTCATATATTTAGTTTCTCTTGAGACTGATAATGGAATAAATGGACAAAGTGGGAGAATATTGCACGTTATATATGTTCCTAATGATTATCCCATGATCTAGTGGTTATCCTGTAACTTGCGCAAAATGCTCCATTTTTCAGAAACTCATTATTTAATAGTTTTACCGATTTATTTGTTGCAATTTAGAATTTTGTGTTGATCAATATTCTATAAATACCGCATATATTCTGTGTTTGAAAGTTATCAAATATGTTCTCTTCTTCGATATACCATATAATCTGTGTTAGAGAATTAAGATTTGAAAACTTAAAAATTGTTTTGGAACTAATAAATGGTTAGAGAAACTTTATTCTAGAATAATTGCTAGAGATTAATAAATATTTTATTGTTTTTCATAATCCCCATTACGTTGAGGATCTTTCGAACTATCATATTCTTGAAATATTAATTAACCACTTAAACAATATGCCTATTTCTCTTTTGAAAATGCATAAATGATTTCAAAACAAAAACTCAAGCTTTTAAAATATACTCACATTATACTTCACTAGTTGTCACACCATAATCAATTTCAATCAACCAAATTTTATCATATAGTTTTATTCAACAAATATGTATTTGAAACTATGAAATAAGTAAATTATTTAAACTAATGCAACATATATTAAAGCCTTTAAAAACCTTTGAAAACTAAGTTAAGAAATTTGCTGAACAAAATTAAAACCACATACTACTTCGAACACATCATTAAAAATATGCATCTTTTTTTCAATAAAGTCATACGTATGCCATCAAGAAAATAACAGAATAATGAACTTTAAAAGAGAAAAATATATACAATTTAGTTTAACAAATTTTTTCTAACTAAACTAGACATATTCTAAATTACCTTCTAGCCGGAGTTCAAAGAGAGAATAAAAACTGTATGAATTCGTAAAGAGAAGATAGAAAGAAATAAAAGAATTTACGATTTTAAATATATTGTTATTTTAATAAATAAATCATAAAACTAATTATTTTTTTCATTTATAACCTTGAAACTTAACTAAAATTAAAATTTCTTGTTAACTTTCAAACTTTTTCATCTAATAGCACAAAAACAATTAACAAAACCATTAATAAAAACAACGATAAATTTCAAACTATGATGTTTCATATAATTAAAGTGAAAACACATGAACATAAACAAATGAACTTTAATTAAAAGGTAGCAAATTTATCGATACTATTAATAATTAATCTTCATCAAAAGCAGTGATTGGCCATCTTTAGAGGGATATTCCGACCAATTCTTTTTCTTACTCACAAAAGACTTGAACCCTAGGTCTTGCTTGAAAGATCCATGTTGGTAAAAAAATTATAACTCTAAGTGCACAATTATTATTTAACTATTAAAATAAAAGAGGTTATAGACATCACAGAATCAAGAAAAATAGATTGGAAATGTCTATTTATGGTAGCAGTTGACCAATTAATGTAGCAATGTGTATGGCATAAATATTTGTTGATTTGTCATGAACAAGATTCAACTCGCCTCAAGAAGCGCGTTCAAGTATTTCTCTATGAACATCAATGTTCTATGGTGGGTAAAACAATCATCAATCACATCAAAAACACTTTCAATCCCAATAATAATCTTTAGTTTTCAGAACTTTTGATATTCAATGTTTTCCATTTCATTGAATCAAATAACAAAAATGCAGTTTGCCAGAAGATAAATTCCTTCTGGTTTTTTAATGCAAAGATTAAGTTCGATTTCCTCAAAGATTATTTGGAAAATTCCTCTGTTTTCTAAGTCTTTGTTTTGCTTCAGTGGGTAACAAAATTCAATTAATTAATTATGTTTTCTTTTATTTGTGACAATATCTCTATGTGTTGTAGAGAATAAGCTGCCATTGACGAATGCCCAAATTTAAGATGAGAAAGGAGTTTGTTTGATTTGTAAGAGTTTCTATTTGAAAACAATTTTCTTTTCTTGTTTTTTCCATCATTCTTATTTCATTGTTATTGGTCATATTATTGTATATGTTTCTTTACGTAATTTGCGTGATTAATCAAATATATGAAGGGCCTTTTATCTTCATGCAGTGGAGAAGTTGATAGGCATATGGCTACTCCCATATTGTAGCCTCAAATTTTTGACTTGGTTTCGAATAATTTTATAATGGAGATGTCTGTTCAACCTGAAAATTCTGCTGCCAATGGCATACCAGGTAATAAACTTTTTTTTTTATTCCACTATCCTATGAACTTAACATTGATGTTTTATACAATAAAATTTGTTTATTACTTCTACCTCATTTTTTTTTTCTTTTCCCCCAATGAGAATGAATATTTTAATCGAAGGATCATAAGAAAAAGGGGTACGGATCTTTTGCGGGAATAATTCAAAAGATCTACAACCTTAAAATAATTGTATTTGCTTGTAACAAGACAACGGAGACCCACATCAATATATAGATTGATATGAAATCAATGTTATGTACAAGAAAATTGAATTCATTTGAACATCATAATATTTGTTTCATTTATCTTTTTCTTTCTCTCCTTTACCAGTTATGAAAGACTACTTAATTTCCTTCTTTCAATAAATTAAGATTGAATTTATTTGTATATAATATTTAGAATGTTAAAATAAGTTTAATCCATGACATAAGAGGTTACTAGATTAAACTAAGTCAAAACATTCATAACATAAATTGAATCAGATTTCTTTTGATCTAATTTATTTAAGTCATGATTTATATTAGTTTAGGTCAAATTAATCTATAAACTTATAGGTTGATATGTTTTATAAAATACTAAATTAATTTTTAAATAAAAATAAAATGATATTATTTTATTAAATATCAAAATATGTATTTAATAATCATTTATTTTAAAATTTACTAATTAAGATTAATTATTATTTTAGATCAATAAATTATGATAATAAAAAGTAAGTTTTTAACTCTTATTTTTCGGATTGAACGAATTCATTCTCTTATAATTTATATATTGAATAATTATATCTTAAAAAACTAATTTATTAATATACTTAAATTAAAATTTTAAAAATATTTTTTATTTTTATTTAAGTATATTTTTAAAATTATTTATTTTGGTATAAATATATTAATATTTTTGTAAAATTTTCAATTATGCCAAAATGGATCTATTAGCTCATTGGTCTAACATAAGATTAAATTAGACTAAAAAACGATGTGAGACTTTCAACACACCCTCTTCAACAAAATCATCGGATCAGGTAAAGAGTATTTTAAGAGCAACTTTTGGTCCAATATAATAATAAATAATATTTTTGACCTACAACGAAAGATAACTTTTTGGTCCAAAACGTATTTTAAGGACAACTTTTGACCCAAAACAACAATAAATAATATTTTTAACCTACAACGAAATGACAACTTTTGATCCAAGACAAAAATTAAATAGAAGTTAAGTTTTGACTTTGATACTATGTTTATGTTTTGATTATGTTTAGGTTTTAACATAAAATCAATTAACAATATATGAATTAATAATTACATATTTAAAGTATATCACATAATATGAGACAGACGACGATGTGAAACTTTCACCATATATTTTGTAAATGATGATATATACAACCATTTTTGTTTTCATAATTATAACCTTTTCCTTTTCTTTTTTTACAAATACTAGAATTAGATTAAATTGATCCTTCTCCCTGTATTTGCAATAAAAAATAAATTAAAATTTATTTTCATATTTACAATATATATAGTGGTATATAACTGCATTTTCATTTATATTTTAAAAAAATTTTGTTAGTAAGACCAAAAGTGTGGTCAAAGACAATTAAGAGGGCATTTAAAAAATAACAAGACACATTATATTTTATAAGATTAGTGTCTCAAATTATTTTAAGATTGGGTTGTAAAATAATCATTAAATTTTATTATTTTTAGTAAATTTATTAGTATTTTTACAACCAAAATCATTCTTAACAACTTTCTCTTCAATAAATATAATTAAAAAAAATAAGGATATAATTAATAAAAAAAGTAATTATTACAATATTAAAAACAAAATTTTCTGGATAAAACCTCACATTGTAATTTATGATGACCCCATGTAGTGCTAACCATAACATGAAATGCTTAAATGTAGGATCAGGACCATCATGTCTTTATGATCTCTTTTGTTCTGAAACACCAAGTTTGAATGCTCAACGTGTAAGAGATGGATGGGAGCCTTCTGGTAATTTACCTTTTAATCTTATCACATCTCAACATTACAAGGATTAACCTTAAAAGCCTTTTCTTAAATAAATCCTCGTCAAAGTGAATATCATGTTGTCTTTGGTGTATTCTCAATTGCAAATATTAATGTGTTACGGGGTAAATTTTGAAGCAAAAGCTCACTTAATTTATAACTTAGTTTTTTTTTTTCTTTTCTTTTCTTCATTTTCTTCCATGAATTACTAGGTCCACAGAAAAGGATAGACAATTTGATGCGTCAAGCTGGGAACAAGTATTGTGCCGATTGTGGATCGTTGGAGCCAAAATGGGTGTAAGTATGAGATTGATTTTAAAGGACTTTTGTTTATATGAATTACTCATATCATTATGAGAATTCTTAGAAATTATTAATGAAAGAACAACATCTTAGGCATATAATATATGATCAAAATTTGTTGTAAAGTTTGTTTTGTAAAAAAAAAAAAAAGTTATACTATTTACGTTTAATTTTATTCACACCATTGTTGAATATCAGGTCTTCAAGTCTTGGAGTATTTATTTGTATCAAATGCTCTGGTATTCATAGAAGCCTTGGAGTCCATATATCCAAGGTATGTTATGAAAATTCAAAGTAGTTCTAAAGTTATTATGAATACTATCATAAAATTCAAATTTTATGATACAATTTATATATTAATGTAATCATTTGTTTATCTTCGATTAATTTAAAATTGAAATATGATATTAAGCGAATGAAAATTCTAACATAATTTGAGATGAATAATATAGGTTCTATCCCTGAAGCTAGATGAATGGACAGATGAACAAGTTGATGCATTGGTGAAATTGGGTGGAAATACGGTGATCAATAAGAAGTATGAAGCTTATGTGCCAAGTCACATAAGAAAACCAAAACCAAATTCTTCTTTTGAGGAGCGCTCAGAATTTATTAGGTAATATCAGAAAACATGCAAGGTTCATAATTTTGAACAAGAACATCATTAATTAATGTAAATTTTGTTATGCAGGAGAAAATATGAGTTTCAACAGTTTTTGGATTCTGAGGAGAACTTGTCTTGTCCCTTCATACCATCTCATGCAAGAAATTCTTCCCCAAGCAATTCATCCCAAGAAAAAAAGAATTATGATAAAGTTCCAACAAGACACCGTATTGGGAGTGCATTACGAAACAGTTGGGGAAGAAAAGATTCAGAGTCGTCAAAGAGTTCAAAGAAAACCAGCAACTCAATGGTAATATTTCTAAACCATGAAAACTAAAACTTATATCTTTCTCTTCAAAACTAAAGCTTGTTTTTGTCTTTGTTTGATGTTATAGGCAGGTATGATTGAATTTGTGGGGTTGATCAAGGTGAATGTGGTTAAAGGCACTAATCTTGCAGTTCGTGATGTAATGTCTAGTGATCCTTATGTCATCATATCTCTGGGTCACCAAGTGAGATTCTTCATCCATGAACTACTTCACACCATATTCATAAACTCAACATGTAATCAACATTAATATCTCTACTCTTACATTGCAGTCATTGAAGACCCGTGTCATAAAGAACAATCTAAACCCGATTTGGAATGAAAGCCTAATGTTGTCAATCCCTGATCACATTCCTCCTCTAAAAGTCGTAAGTTCAATATCACATGAAAAATAATCAAATGTTTGTTTTGGTTATTAGTGACAGACACATACAAATAGCGTTTCTTGTTCATCACACACTCTTCTTGCAAAACTTACTTATCTGTGATGCATATATATGCAGATTGTGTACGACAAGGATACTTTCTCAACTGATGATTTTATGGGTGAGGCTGAAATAGACATTCAACCTCTTGTTTCGGTTGCAAAGGCGCATGAGAAATCTTCCATGAATGAGTTCATGCAGCTTGAAAAATGGATATCAGATAGTGACAGCACTCATAATAGAGATGGCATCATCTCCTTTGAAGATGGCAAAATCAAACAGAATATTTCGTTGAGGCTACAAAATGTTGAGAGAGGTGTTTTGGAGATTGAACTTGAATGTGTTCCTTTAACTCAATAGTGAAGATAAATCTTAAACCTAGTTAAAACACATTTTCGACCATCCATCACTCCACATTGTCCATATCAATTCACCTATATATACACACATATATATATTATTTTGTTTCTATAATATCCTTTTGTCATTAACAAAATACAAAATATCAATATATAATAGTTTTTGGAAAGAAGCTTATAAATTAATTTTAATCTTTTTACCTTTTCTCCAAGCTTTTAGTTTATGTTATATATGTATAATATTCTGATATCTATACCTTAAACTAATTCTTGAGCAATTAAATTTAATATAAACATTACCAATTAATGCATTGAGTCCTTATGTTTTTCAATAAAAGTTATTTATGTATCAATTTTCTTAATTATTATGCTTAAAAAATATTAATTGATCAAGGTCAATTAACCTAACTGGCAATTTTTCTCAATAACCTTTTGTAGAATATATGTAATATTATAATTTAACAATAATCAAATTGAAAGTTTTCATAAATAGATAAAGTTTATAAAATTTCATGCAAGTTAAAAATTGATTTCATTTTCATCGTACTATACTTTATTTTAATATCTCTAATATCAATTGATAATATTGTTTGATTATGCATATACATGTGAAGTATATAGAAAATTATTATTACAAGATAATGTAGTAATAAATCTTGGTCATGTTAAAAGTTATTTAGTGTTACACAAGTATTTTAAAACGAAAGAAAAATAAGAAAAATAGAGTAACAAAAAAGTATGCATGATTTTTGTCGTGCAATTATACATAAATAGTGAAAATAAAAATGTTTTTTTTATAGTTGCATGATTAATTAAAAATTCATTAATCTTTAAAAAAATCACGATTATTACATTTTGAAGCCATTTATTGATGAGGTAATGAATTTGAGACATGACACCTAAATACACTAGTTAGGTGAGATGGTTGTCATGTGGATTTGAAAATTATATAAAAATAGTTAAATTATTGTTTTAATAATAAAATATTAATTATTGTTTTAATAATAGAATATTATTCATGTAAAACTTTTGATGTGTTTGCCATAATCTCAAGGAACCTTTTGCTACAAATCCAATGGCAGCTGAAACTTCATCGTCATAGAAAATGATTTCGGAACTCTCAAGTCTCCACGGTCGACAACATAATAATCAATCATAGAAATATCACCACATCTTGTATTACAAAATCAATTTTAAAAAATAATTAATAGATTCAGATAATCAATCACTGAGTTTGTTCTTCATAACAATACTATGAAACTAGCTTAAAAGATGAGAGTCATAGCAAACATGAGATTCCTAACCTAATTGATATGTAATTAAATGTTGTAAATACATGTTAACTAATGTTTGATTTCTAATCATATGAACAAGGAGAACTTTTTTTTTTACAAAAAAGACAAAAATATTTTGATAATCTCTATATTTGAAAGGAAAATAGTATTAAACTATGTAAGAAAAGATTACTGAAAATTTATTGAGAAAAATTAGGTGGGGGTTTCATGTTGATTTACCAAAAACAAAAATACTTCGTTCTCTTATCATTATGAATCTCTTTCATTCGCCATGCATTTCCTATTCATAAACACATTGATAGTAGAAAGTTCTACTTCCTCACAAACCAACAAAAAATTATGTGGGACAAACGATTTTGAGTGATGTGTTTGGAAGATCCAAAAAAAAAAGTAAACGAAGAGGAAATGATTGAAAATTCAAGAAGAAAAGAATGGAAATTTTTTTTTTTTCGTTTTAAAAAAAATTCAATAAGTAAATGATTTTTTTTCTTTACCAAGGGAAAAGAAAATGTATTGTGTTTTTTTCTTCACTCTTCTTATATAAGCATTAAAGTTGAAAAATATATTATTTTTAGAAAATGATTTTTGAGAGTGAAAATCTAATTTTCTGAATTAAAATAGTTTTTTTTATTGAACAAATGTCATATTACCCTTATTAGTAATACATTAAAGATTTTAGAAAACATTAACCATCATTCATTAGACTAAAATGAAAAACCTTCTATGTCAGATTGAATAATGCATTATCTTATATCAGAAGGAGAATATTAGAGAGAAGTATTTGAAGTTCATTTTGGATTTGGAAAAGAATAAGAATAATCGCAAATGTTCTTTTCCTCTTCTTCTTTCTTTCCCTTTCAATTTCTGAAAATTTCTTGTTTGGTGCACCTTCACTATTTAATGTGAAAAAACAAATGAAATAGAAACCATTTGAATTCATCACATTTATATGGATAGAAAAGACACATATCCGAGCTTCAACATGAAGAATGAGACTCCCACATTCCTTGGTCTCACAGCAACATCATCTTCCTTCTCTATTTATTAATGTTTAATTTTTATAATAATATGCAATAAATATTTAGTAAAATTAATATTTATTGTGTACTCATTCCATTAAAAAAATCATTAAATCAAATTTCATTCGAGTGTTAATTAGACAAACTTGAGCAATTCCATTTTATAATTTTACGAACAAAATACAGTTTATCCTTCTACATAAATGAATTTTAACTTATAAAAAATATTTAAAGAAAATCTTATGTTTTTCTCTTGGAAGGAGGACTTTGGAAAAGCATGTTGGTAAGATGAAACCATGTGGGAGACAAGTCAAGAACAGGTCATAACATCTAAACAACAGCAAAAGAGTTACTGCTAAAAGTCTACCTTAAGAAGAAAAATAATGGCGACAATTCCATTTCGCAATTTCACAAACAAGAAACATACAATCGTGCTTTCAACATCAAGAATGAGACATGCACATTAGTGTCCCAAAATATCATGGAATGACAGACATATCCTCTTAAAACTGTTCCAATGGTTGGTTTGCATAACATGGATGACATCTTAGACTTAAATTATCTCATTATTGTACACTGAATGATGACAACTTACTGTTTAATGAGACATGTACGTTACAGAGTATACCTCTTTTACAGCTTGTTGGAAAATTGAAACGTCATTAAATCCCAAAACCAACCTTTCTCAAACGTGCTATTAAATATAAACTTTAATAGTGTCGATCAGAGGAATCCCATGTGCAGTTTGCAAACATGTGTGGTCTTGATCCAACTATTAAAGACCATTAACTTCAATTTCAATAGAAAACTTAGCATTCAATAAAACAAGTTAAAAGAACTGATCAATGCACTTCTTTTCATAACTTCAGTTCTTGCATCAGTACTGTTCATGTTTCCTGAGAACAATCTCTTTAACATAAAATCTCATCAGATTTCTATGAAAAACTATTAATTAGTTTCCCTCTTATCTAATGAATTGACAAATACTAGGCACAAGATAAAAAATAAAATAAAAAAAGCATCCATTATTCATACACAAAACGGCCAGTATCAAGTCTACTAAAAAATTACCAGTTTTGAAGAATGTGATGGATGAATCAAGGTCTAAGACAGTATTCCATGTTTAACTATGCCTCGAAGTTCAGTAGATATATGTAATAAGAATGAAAGAATAAAAGGGTAGAGAGAAGATTGATCCAAGAATAGACTAAAAAAGAAGGGATAATATTAAACATCCCATGATTTTCATTACAAGTAATATTTATAGCAAATCTTTATACACCACTAAATATTTACACCCTCCATAGGAATAATACCATCCCCATTCCCATTTCAGTGAAGAAAAAGAAAAAGATCCAATCTTGAACAAAACAAAAGCATGTTCAAGGAGGCATGGAAAAACCGATGATCAAGAACAGCAATAAGGGCACCTAAGGAGTCCATTCTCATTGCACTCCAAACACCTCTTCAAGCACCCTTCGTCCTCATCAAACAACTTTCGACTCCCACTGCAATTCTCGCACGGCACAAACCTAGCGTCGCCACAATTCTCGCACACGAACCCGGGTCTGAGCTTGGGGAACCCTTCAAGAATGATCTTGGCCAGTTCCCCAGTCTCGAACAAGTGCTTGATCACCTCGGCGCCACCCACGTACTTCCCTCGCACGAACACCTGAGGCAGCGCCACGTGACGCTCGCCCAGCACGCGTTGCAGCTCCTCCTTGTAAGCAATGTCCATGGACACGTCCCTCTCGTCCACCCAAACCCTAAACCCCTTCAGGATCATGCGCACCGCGTTGCAGTCCTCGAACGTTCGCCGAACCCCGCGCAGGCTCGTTAAATACACCACGATCCGCTCCTCCGTCCCGGACAATCGAAACGGCGTCGTCGTCGTGCACGACTCCCAACGCGCTTTCGATTCCGATTCTGGGATCTTCTTCGAGGAGGACTCGAACAGGGTGCATAGCTTCTTCACCATTTTCCCGCGGATTGAGGTTTTCGCCGACTCCACGGATCCGTAGGATCGGTTCAGAGAACCGGACCGGTCCAGATTCTGCTGGCTCTGAGGAATGTAGGGTTTCCGCGAGGGCTCCGAGTGAATCGTGTTCGACCTGTTGAAGAACGGAAACCGCGACATCTTCGCGAAATTCGACAATCTCCGAGCTCCTGAACGCAGAGAATCGAAAGAATTTAGCGTGAGTGTCGGAAATTGATTATGAAATGCTATAATTTATATAATCTGATTCAATTCAAAAATCAATTCGATTTCCTGGAGTGAAATTAGCTCAAAATTACGTTAGCTGGTAGCTGATATTTCAAAGCTGCTTCATTTAAACGATAATTCGAACATTTTAGGATTTCCCTCAAGGATTTTTCATATTCAATCGGAAATCACAACCGAGCTCGATTTTCAGGGGTGGTGACAATATAAAATAAAACGAAAGAAAGAAAGAAAGCCATGAAATTTACAGTTTACCTTTTCTTGTTCACTTCAGGGGGCGGCGAGGATGGGCCTGCGCCGGCGGCGAGGAATGACGGAACAGCGGAAGCTCACGCGGTGAGTTTCGTTTTGTGTTATTAAGGCCGTGATGTTGTTGTTTTCTTCGTGTTGGTCGTTTCAAGTTTTGTGTTTGTTTTGTGTTTTGGGGTTTTCTTTGTAAAGGTATTTGTGTGTGTGCTGTGTTTCAGTTGAGGGTTGAAACAAAAATTAGGTCTTGTTTCTGTTAGTTTTGGAGGTGGCTTTGCATGATGAGGATGAAGATGAAGGAGAGTCAGAGATAAGGGTTGAATGAGTTTATTATCCACAACAGCAATAATTTATAGAGAAAGAAACTTCAAATTATAATAAATAAATGAAAAAAAAATAGAAATGGAAAGTGGGTGCAGGTTCTGTTTCATCTTTTTTCTTGATTTAGAAAAGCTATGCTTTTTATTTTCTGAATTAAAAAATTTCTTACATTTCTATTCAATTTAAGTTATGGATATTTGATATATGTAAAAAAAGTTTATTACAAGAAAGAAACAAGTAAAAAACATTAATTATTCAAATAGGGGGATAGTTTGAGATGAAGATTGTAATGAAATAACAGTGTGTTGTTTTGTTTAGTTTTACAGTTTCAGAGATATGAAAATGGAAATAAATTATTTTGTTCTTATTTTGGATATACAGAAGATAAAACTGTGAGTGCTGTTGGTTTTAATTGACTTGTCAGAAATAATGAGGTGAGGAAATGTAATTTATGTTTCATTCATGTTAAATGAGGAAAAAAAATATTGGTATTTGTGGTTTGAATTTGATGAATTAAATATAAAAATAAATTTATTTTAGTTTTAATTCAATAAAAAATTTGATTTTTGTAAAAATTATAGTATAAAACTTATTTTGATAAGTGTGATATATATGATAAATAAAATACAAAAAAATTAAAAAACAGCATTTAAGATTCATAACTTTTAAGAATTATTAATTAAATTTAATTTGTTTTAATTTAAAATCTAAATCAAACCTTTTAATTCAGAAAAGAAAAATTAAAAAGTCAAGAAAAAGTAAAGATTCTAAATTAAAATAATACTTTTTTTGTGGCGTGGCAACGTACCACCCGCTATGTTTTGTCGTATGTATTTGTGGATTGTGAAATTTTCTAAGCATTTTTCTAAGATAAGACGCGTCTAAGCCTTTATTAATAATATATATTTTTTATTTTAAATTATTCAAATATCAATTATTATACTCTATTTCAACAAAAAAATAGTGAATTTTTTTTAATATATTTTCAAAATACAAATTTTAATAAAAAAATACTTGTACAAATTTATATCTCAATTGATCTCATTCAATTTATCATAGATTACGTATGTTAAATTGAACAAAAGAATAGAAAAATATATTCATCTCATAAAATTTTATAATTAGATTATACATTCTTAAATTATTCTCCTTTTTGTGATATTATGTTCTTTGTTAGTTTAATTAATCAATTAAGAATGAGATATACTTATGATTTAAACTCCAAATCTCTCTGGGATAAAGAGAACAAATACCTATTTGTCATGTTATTATGTCTATTTTATACATAAATATATGTACATGTATTAGATAAAAAAATAAATAATACAGAATATCATTAGAATACAGTTCTTCATGCTTACAACATACCTATACCTTCAAATGATTTCATGCTTACAAGATACCCTCCATCAAGAATTGATGAATTGCAACTCTGTTTCAAGGACAGGGCTGAAAAGATGCCAACTAGAATCATGGAATGCATTATAATAGTCATCTGAAACTGTTTGGATTCTAAATTCATTTGTGAATCGTCGAGCAGCCAAAATATGCCCCATTGAATTAAGAATAGGTGAGTTCTTACACAATGACACATGCTGCTCGTATGTTTCAAAGCTATTACCAAATAATACTATGTTTTTCAAGAGATTTAATTTCCAATTTGCTCGCAACAGGTTGTTATATAACTCTGCCTCGCAGTGAGGCATGAAGAACATTGTTGGCTTTAGAGCCTCGCGCTTCCCATGCTCGTTTATGGACATGACAGAACAACCAAGAGTTTCCAAAACCTGAGTCTCGGTTGCAGAAAGAATAGGATCAAATACCTCTATGTTTCCAATCCAACTGAAATCTCTTCTCAACAATATTGCAAGGCTAAGCTGCAGTCGAGGGGGCTCATACAACTCAATACTTCCAATACCATAAATGACCATTTGCATCTGTATCTCTGAGCCCAAAATCCTAATGAAGTATTCAGCAGTTGATGTTTGCATTTGACCTCTGAAGGTATGATAGAATTCAGATTTCTCAATCTTATTTATACATCTTTCCATTTTCTGCACCAACGTTGCTTCTTTGCTTGGATCAGTCAGAGAATCTGTTGGAGTCCATGGCTCTTGTTTTTCATCCAAAACACTAGATTTGGTAGCTTTTCTTCTTTGCCTGCTGCGACGGGGTAAAACAACAGTCCAACCTTCATTTGTTGTGCAATTGCTAATTGTTAGAGTTTTCTCCGAAGCTGCCATTCAGACACTATAGTTCTCTTGATCTCTGATGCACTGCTTCCACCTCAGAATGCAATCACAAAATCTGGGTAAAATTACGTGGTGTTAGAACTGGCTTTCCATGCTAACATCTTCTTGGTAAATAGTCCCATTCAAGATGAAGATAAAATGCGTGAATACAAGTCGGACAAAACACAATACAAATGTGCATCTTTGCTAAAACATCCTTTAAAACAGTTGATTATAACCCCAGCATGATCATCATGAAAAATTACGTGAGAAATGGTGGTCATGATAACCCAAAATTGATATACTGACTAATAAGGATCAATATACAATTAAGATAGATATATTAAATTCCTATTAGTGACATATTTCAAACTTGAGCTTAGTGAGAAAACTTAATTAACATTCTGGTGGGACAAAAGGATTGAAAAATCCCAATATAAAGATACTCAACAATCACCCAGCTCCTGAATGCAAAGAATAGAAAGAATTTGGCGTGAGTTTCAGTTTCCTGAAGCGAAATTTGCTTAAAATTAAGTTTGCTGGACCTGATATTTCAACAGGTTTCACTTAACGTGTATTCGAAACATTTTTCTCCAAATAATTAGCAACACACCTAGTTTTGCTTCTTATTTTTCTCCAAGCAAACACTCCTATTTACTCTCATTTGTCAACTATTTTCGTTTAGTTTTTGTCTTTTATTTTCTTCTCTTGCTGCTAAAAGGACCAGATATAAAGCACTAGGTTGAAGAGGCTCAACACAAGAACGAGAGAGTTTTAAAAAACAGGCAAAGTTGTGGGTTAACAGCACATGCAAATGGGTCAGCAAAACATCTCAATGTTTTTCAGGATGCTCAAAACCGAAAATTTTCAACAGTGCGAAAAACGGTTAGATTTGGTTCGGACCTTCTCTGATTCAATCAATTCGGGAAGAACCAATTTTTTTTTTTTCCAGTAAGGTTTGGTTAAGTTTGTTCCATTACTATGATGCATGCCTCTTAAAAAATATCAGTGAACAATGTACCATAAGCGAAATAAAATCAAGAGCTAAAAAACTCTGAATCACCGGAACAAACAGTTCAGCTGTCAGCTGGAAAGAACCATTATCTGATTGGGTTCGGTTTTCTGTGCTGAATCGAACCGTGAGAGCGAGAACAGAGAAGAAAACGTGGAAGTGGAATTAATAATAAGGAAAAAATGGGGGAAATGACATACCAAAGTCCAAACGGAGATGGACGGCGGCGACGGGGGAGCAACGCGCAGGAATGTGGCGGCGCTGACAAGGGTTACAAGGAAAACGAATTTGAGTGAAATGACTTTTTTTACCACTGGCAACTTATCGTAGTACCGTTGATTGCTGAAACTTTAAATAAATATACTTTTTTATTTTGCTTTTCTCTTTATTTTTTATTTTTTTCTTACTCTTTTCCATTTTATCTTTGAATTTGGTCAATGTAATTATGCAAGATTTTGTTTAACCATGATATAATATATTTACCGAGTATATATAATATAAAATCTGTTTGTTAAACGATGTAATCATGGTGGGTATATAAATATTAGTGTTTAGGGTGGGATATACTCCATTAATAATATTATTTAGTCATGGACAGAGCTTATATTCGATATATGCTCATTATTTGTTTAAAAGTTGAGTCTAACAATAATTTAAATATATTTTACTCTCTTAATTAATCAAAATATTTTAAAAATAAAATTATAATAAACAAAAATTTTAAAACAGAAAATATCTTAATAATAAAAATTGAATCTAACCAATATTGTGATAAACACGTAAAATTGAATCTAATAAATATTATAATAATGACATAAAAGTAAGATACTTTCGATAGAATTTTTTTTCTTATTTTAATAATAGAATAAAATTATTTATTATTCGTAATAAAAAAAGTTAACAAAAATATTAAAATACATATCTCTAGAAATTATGAATTCTGCCTAAATTAATATTTATGAAAATATTATAACTTAATTAATTAAAAATATTTTATTGTTATATATTCATAATTTTCATATTATTTAATAATTTATAAATACTCTATCTTTTTATCTCGCGTATATATATTTTTAAAATAAATTGATAATAAATTAAAATTCCAAAAATAAATGATGCATTCTAACTTTAAAATTGTATGTTAAGAATAAAAAATTATTTAATATTTTACAGTAATATATTATAAATTTAGTTAAATTATTTTCATTCTCATTAAAGGATGTAATTAAATAAAATACATGATGGCAACTAATAAATTGAGTAAATAAGAATATTATAAAAATAAGATATATAAATTTTATATGAACAAGTGAAGAGTAATATATTATCGTAATAAAATTCAAATCTAGAATTTTAAATAAATAATTCAAACTCTGAGTACTGAGCCAATCATGATGATAACTGGTTTTCGTCACCTTTCAATCTTTTTTGATATTCAAGAGCAAAACATAATTTGTTATTCTTTGAATGACGAAAGTAAACAACTCTTGTATGATTATTAAAACCATATAACAATTATTTTTCAGGAGATCCTTTAATATATTTCAAGATACGAATGACTGCATTCCAATTATCTTCACATGGTGAATTAAGAAATTGACTTACCACACTGATTGCAAAGGAAATGTCAGAACGAGTAACTGTAAGATAATTCAATTTTCCAACCATCTTCTATACTGCTCAGGATCAGATATAGGTTCCCCCTTATTTAATAGAAGTTTAGTATTGAGATCCATGGGTGTATCAACAGACTTTGAACTCATCAACCCAGTTTCCTCCAAAATATTTATGGCATACTTCCTCTGAGATATAACAATATCATCATTGGACTGTGCCACCTCAATACCCAAGAAATATCTAAGTTTACCAAGATCTTTGGTCTGAAAATGGTGACAGAGATGTTGTTTCAACTGAGAGATGTCATGGTTGTCACTACCTGTAAGAACGATGTCATCAACATATACTATCAAGTAAACACATTCAGCACTCGAGTGTCGATAAAAGACAGAATGATCTGTTTCACACCGAGTCATACCAAATTGTTGAATAACCTTACTAAACTTTCCAAACTAAACCCTGTTTTAGGCCATATAGGAATTTGAGAAGACGACATACCATCCCAGAAGACTCCCCCTGAGCAACAAACCCAAGAGGTTGCTCCATATATATTTCTTCTTGCAAATCACCATTGAAGAAAACATTTTTAACATCCAATTGATAAAGAGACCTTTGTTGAAGAGCGGCCATGACGATAAATAAACGAACAGAAGCCATCTTTGCCACAGGGGAAAAGGTATCTCTATAATTCAACCCAAAAATTTGAGTATAACCTTTGACCACAAGACGAACTTTAAGGCGATCAATAGTACCATCAAGTCCAACTTTGATAGCAAACACCCACCTGCAACCAACAACAGATTTCTCAGACGGTAACGAGACCAATTCCCAAGTTCCACTATTATGAAGAGTACTTAGTTCATCTAACATGACCTGACGCCAACCAGGATGGGTTAAAGCTTCACAGACAATTTTTGGAATGGTCACAGAAGAAATAGAGGAAAGACATGTATAAAAAGGTAATGACAATCGATGATAACTCAAAGTAATATAATGGGGAGAGGGATTACGTGTAGAATGAATACCTTTTCGGAGGGCAATGGGAAGGTCAGACTCATGTGTCAGATCCGAAGGAGACAAAGTAGTTGGCACTTGAGTGGAGTCACATGGTGGTGGTTGTGATTGGTTTCGAGAACTATAAATCTGAAGAGGCAGTGGAGAAGAAGTTGATTGCGGAGCAAGAACTAATGGTGAAGAAGACACAGTTAGAGAGTCACAAATAGGAACATTAAATATATTAGAAGTGTTGACAAGATTGGATGGAGACAGAGGTGAAGATTGACTTTTAAAATAAAGAGACAACTCATCAAAGGTGACATCTTTTGATACAAAATAACGATTAAGAGAAGGAGAAAAACATTTGTATCCTTTTTGTGATCTTGTAAACCCTAAGAAAACACATTTATGTGATCTAGGAAAAAGTTTGTCAAGACCATAATTAAAATTATGAACAAAACATGTAGACCCAAAAACTCTCAAAGGTAAAGGATGAAGTGGTTCATGAGGGAATAAAATGGAATGAGGTATTTTATTATCTAAAACCGAAGAAGACATGCGATTAATGATATAACATGCAGTAAGAAGAGCATCACTCCAAAAATATTGAGGAACATCTCCATGAATTAAAAGTGTGCGAGTTGTTTCAATAAGATGTCTATTTTTACGTTCAGCTACACCATTTTGTTGAGGTGTATAAGCACAAGAAGTTTGATGCAAAATACCGTAAGAAGCCATGAATTGTTTAAAAGAATGAGAATGATATTCACGACCATTATCACTATGCAAAACTCTAATAGAAACACCGAACTGAGTTTGAATTTCATTAAAAGAAGTTTGAAAGATATGAAATAATTCAGAACGATTTTTCATCAAAAATAACCAAGTGCATCTAGAATAATCATCAATGAAAGTAACAAAGTATTGAAAATCTAAAGTAGACTTAACGCGACTAGATCCCCAAATGTCAGAGTGAACCACGGTAAAAGGGGACGAAGCACCACGTGTGAAACTACGAGGAAAGGAAGTACGACTATGTTTGCCTAATTGACATGACTCACACGCCAAACTAGATAAGTTGAACAATGCAGGGACAAGTTTCTATAACTTGGCAAGACTTGGATGACCTAAATGAGCATGAAGAAGAGAGGGAGACTTCATAACTGTACTAACATGTGTAGAGGGACGGAGATAATAAAGACCATGAGACTCACATCCTGTGTCAATCACCTGTTTCGAACTCCGATCCTGTAAACACACAGAATTGTTGGTAAAAGTAACAACACAATCAAGAGAACGAGTTAGACGACTGATGGACAACAGGTTAAAAGGAGACCCAGGGACATAAAGAATATTATCAATGGTTAAAGAAGGAAAAAGTTTAATC